AAAAAAAAAAAAAAAAAAAATTTACTTTCCACCTATTCTCATCAAAAATACAAAGAGTCAATGATTCAATGTTGGGAAAAAAAAAAATTGTAGGAACACAAAGTGAGGGCGATAACGATAACGCCTTAAAATGTATCTTCTTCCTTGCAGTAAAAAAAGATCTCACGAGTGCGTACAGTGGTGGAAGCAAAAAAAAAGTTCAAAGCGACGTTCCATACCCAAACTGTATATCTAGAGCAGCAGAGCAAGAGAAAAAAAAAAAGAAAGAAAAAAGAAAAAAAAAGAGACTAGAGGCCAGCGAAGCAGTCGAGAACAAGTGAGAGCCACAGGCAGCAGCTTTTAGAGCGCGAAATCGAAATTCAAGAAAAACTCCGGAGATAGGTTTCGGTGTCGCCACGGGAGAGAGTCATTGAAGAAGATATTATTTCCGAGAAAGGGAGAAAAAGTGCACCGCTTAGCACGACAGCTTCAGCGGAGGGAAAATTTTCGAGTTGCCCAAGTGTCACCTCGGCCGTGTACTAATAAAAATATTGAGGGCGAGAATTACTTGCGATGAGGTAGGTCTATAGCAAATGGGAGCAGAGGAGGGTCAGGAGGAGGAAACGGTGCGCGGTTAATTAAGAGGTTATCTCTTCTTGCGTTTACTGGCGTGAAAACTTTGAAACGCCTTAATCAAGAGGCAGGGTTTTGGATGTTATTATGATTTTTTTTACGTGAAGGGACATTTACTTTTGAGGATTTCTCATGGACCGAAATAACTTTGAAATAAGTCTTGACTTCTTTCAAGCACAAACATACCTTCAAGTGAAACGGATTCGTTGAAAAACAGTAAAAATTACTACATAACATACTTTTTTTTCTCCAATTAATTAATAAAAATTATTTCGAAACATGGTTGTTACTATAGTTGTATATGTTTCGCGTAATCTTGATGATTACTACTGCATCTAAAATTATTGATAAAAATGTTTGCATTTTATTAGTCAATAAGCATATCATGCAGTTACAAGAGAACAAAGTTTTGCTACGTTTTTTGACTTACTTTTTGTCTCAGAAGGAAAAAAAAGTAAAAATCTTACCTATGCAATATTTGTTGCCAATGATTCATACGTTTGAATATTAATAGATAAATAACGATTACAAAACTTTTTAGGTACGACTACTTCATTGGAGTGCCTTGTATTTTTACCAGAGCAAAAAAAGTGACTACTACTTATGAAAACACGTTACACTTGTGCCACAAGCAAAATGTTACCAGACCTAAGACTGCATAACCCTAAAAAAATTAAAACCAGTTTTTCCGTACAATTTTTTAAGTGAATATTTTCGGTCCAAACAAAGTCAAGAAAAAATGTATAAAATAAAAATAAAACTTTTAACCATGTAAGTATGTGGACTCAAAAAGAGGTAATCTTTTTATAATAGTTTGAAAAATCAGTTTTTTTTAGTATATCTTAAAAATTGAAAGACTTGGGCATTTGGCTGCAAAACGAAAGTTATAGGCCTCAAAAAATACCTCACTTTTTTTGATCATTTGTTTTTATTAGTTTAAAAATTTGAAAAGAAAAATATTAGAAAATAACAACTAAAAAATCAGTTTTTTGTTACATCTTTTATAATATCATTAAAGGTT